GAGGGGGGCATCGTGGGTCCATTTCATGCAGCAATGAAGAGACTGCTAAGTGAATTTTTACCACATTCCATATTTACCACATTCACTAAGCTGAGGGAAAAATCTCCTGCAAAAGCAAAATTTACTTTCCACATGAACAACCTATTTGCCTTTAGTAAATGAACCCTGATAGGATCTGGTCACCCTAAGGGTGGACTGCATGTATTAATTTTGGACTGAGGAAACTTTAAGTCAGTGTTTTCCATTCCTGAGCTCAAATAACACTTGTTACTTTGGTCATAGCAAAAATTTCCGTGTTCCTTCAAGTGAAGGAAAATTAACTGCTAGTATGCTAGGTAATTGCTTGTGTGCTGCATTTGCTGCATATTTGAATATGTATTTCGTTTGAACTACAATTAAAGCTCAAAAACTTGTTTCCAAATAATTTTTATGTAAATGTACATACTGGAATTGTTAGTATACTTGATTCTCGGTGCATCACATCACTTGTTTTAAATGCTGCATAATCAGTTATTGTGTTTGACCCTCTTTTTTATATACCAGATGTAAACAATGCATGTCCACGAATATATTCTTTAGGCCAGGTTCACAGCTGGGCGATCCGTGACCGTGCATCAATCATGCCTGAAACTGCGCGTCACTGAATCACAGAATCACACACCACCATTCTTTTATAATGGCACCCCAGTCGTGCCAGGCAGATTGTGTGGTTTCTTGCCGCAATTCTGCCCATGCAATCGCACCAGATATAACTAGGGATGTACCGTTACTGATACTAGTATCAATATTAGAGCAGATACCGAGTATTTGGGCGAGTACTTGTTAAGCTGGCTTCCCGTGCAATCAGGAAGCCGGGTGGGGACTAATGACCCGCCTCCCTGATTGGCCGGGAAGCTGGCTCCATGCTGATTGGCTGGTAAGCCGACTGGCTGGTACAGCTCCCGAACGTGGCCGAGCGGCTCAGTCGAGCCGAACGCATATGCATCCGCGCTGAAAGCCGAAGCTGGCCGAGCGGCTGGCCATTGGCCAGCCAACAGCCTGCTTCTGACAGCTGGGCAGAGCCAGCCGTGATCTTACGGCTGGCTCCGGCCACTTGCAGAGAGATCAGCGTCCCTAGTTACCTGCTAACCAGGGACACTGATCTCCAAACAGCAAACTCTCCCGCAGAGTCTCCCGCTCCCGGCCGCCAAGGAGAGAAACACTGCTTTTTCTTTTTTTTCTTTCAGCTCCGTGTCAGAATAGAAAAAAACAAAACCTTTTTGCCAATTGGAATGCATTGCTAGATTCCTATTGGCTATTTCAATTTGCAATAGCCAATAGTAAACTAGCATTGTACTCGACCCTCTGCTGCAGTTCTCCATCAGGTCCATCAGCAGAGGGCGGGTACAATGCTAGTTTACTATTGGCTATTGCAAATTGAAATAGCCAATTGTAATCTAGCAATGCATTCCAATGGGCAAAAACTTTTTTTTTTTTCTATTCTGACTCAGCTCCATGTCAGAATAAAGAAAAAAAAAGATAAATCAGTGTTTCTCTCTTTGGCGGCCGGGAGTGGAAGGCTCCCAGAGTGCCCGGGAGATTTTTTTTTTACGGCAGCGGAACCGCCGGACATTAGGAAACTGTTGGGCGGAGCTAGCTGTCACTGCTAGCTCCGCACAATCGTTTTCTATTTTCTTTTTAAAAAACTTTTAAAACTATTTTTCTGTTCTGCTCGGTCCCTCTGAGGGACTGAGCAGAACAGCCGAGCCGAATGCCGCTCAGCGGCATTCGGCTATTCACAAATTCACAAATTGTGCGCACACAAATTTGAAAAAAACTACAATTCCCAAAATTGACCATAGGCGAGGCTTTAAAAGCTTTTACCGCTCATCGGTTTAGTGTTATCAGTGATTAATGGCCCCAGAATGATTGCTCTCACTGCGACATTCGCGGTGATATGTATCATGTTCACACATATGCGCACCTGACGCATGTTTGCCCGCATGTATGTATGGGTGGGGACTTTAAAAAATGTTTGTGTTTTTTTATTCTTTTCCATGTGTGACTTTTTTTTTTGCAACTTTTTTTTTTCCTATTTTTTATTAACGTTATTGTTATTACACAGGGTGCTAAGAAACCCGCTATGTGATACGAAAGAGATGTGACAGGCCCTCTTTTTGCAGACATCAGGGGTCAGATCTGTGAGTGGGCGGGGCCAACAGGCCGTCTTTAGACGGCCGGTCAGATCCAGGAAGCTCCCGGCCGGCTGTTTTTCTACCATGGCCAGTCGGGAGGCGGTTAATATATATGCCAAACCTGCTGCCTCCTCTACCTGTCACCTTCATAGGTTATTTAGCTAAGTCTGTGCCATTTTTGAGGAACAGCAGTACTCTTGTTTGGCTTGAAGCACCCCATCCTTTACAATTCATTCTGTACATTTTTAGCATATATTGAAGGTATAAGTGTAAGGTGTTTCACCATAAACCATATGCCATAAGCTCATACCAACCACGTGGTGACTCAGATTGATGATGTTCCTACTACTACTTTTTTCCAGCACGGTTAGTTGCCGGAATGCACTGAATAGCATAGTGGAAGCCTCCCTGCGTTCTGGGGTGGACGGGAGCATGGTAGTGTCCTTTAAGTCAGTAGCACTGCAGACACATCCCCCTACCTGCAGTTTGATCGCATGCACCAGAATGCATGGTACAGTAATTCCCGCATTCCAGTCCGGTGCGATCCCAAAACAGTGCATGCACTATTTTTTGTGATTGCACCTGACTGGAACGCGGGTATTGCTGTGCCACGTGTTCTGGTGCAGGCGACTGCACTGTGGGCAGGGGGGCATGTCTGCAGTGCCATTGACTTGAATGGCACCTCCACGCCCCAGAATGCAGGGAGGCTTCCACTATGCAATCCAGTGTGTTCCGGCCACTAACCGTATTGGGACGCACTGGAGATGGTGTGAACTGGCCCTGAGGGCAGGGACTAATGTGAATGTGCACTATGTAAAGCACTGTGTAAAGTTGTCAGCGCTATATAATTACCTGTAATAAATAAATACTGTGAACGGATCAGTGGGTTGTGTTTGTTCCCCAAAGTAAAGGTTACCAGCCTTCCTCTACATCAGTGATGTGCGGTGCCTTTAGTTCCGGGTGAGGCATTGCCCAGCCTCACCCCCAGCATGCCCCGCCCGATGAAGCCCCGCCCCAGCCCACTGAAGCACGGCCCCCCTGGCCAAAGCCCCATCCCCCAACCCGGTCCCCAAAGCAAGTGTGAAGGAGGGAGGGAGGAGGAGACAGGGAGGAGTCTCCCTGTCCCTCACTAACTCGTCATTGCTGAGGCATCAAGACCAATGGTCTCAGTGGGTTTTTTTTTCTTTTTTTTATTGGACAGCTTGGACCAATGGTGCTTTGCCATTGGTCCAAGCCATCCACAGAGCTCACACCTCTAACATAGAGTAGAGGCTGTGACAGCTCTTGCCTCAATAGTTAGGTTACACAAGCAGTGGGGAAGCCCGCTGCTGTGTAACCTAACTACCTGCTAAAAGCCGGATGAGGCGCTGCCTGTAATTAACAGGCAGTACTCCGCCCATGACAGGTTACACAGTGGGGAGGCTTTCCCTGCTGTGTAACCTGTAACAAGCTGCACTAAATGGAGCAAAAGCTGACAGCTTCAGACTTGAAGCTGACAGCTTTTTCCTCCATAATAGTAGGTGAGGCTCTGCCTCCCCTGCCTCCCCTGACTGTGCGTCCCTGCTCTACATGTGTTCAGTCTCCCTGCCTCCCACCATGCAGTGTTTGGAGGAGCCAGCTTATCCCTGTACAAGTTTATGCTTTGTCAGAAGATCAAAACTTGAATAGAAATTACAGAGATCCTATCATTTGGGGAATGTGATGAGGTAAGACTTTATACAGCAGTGGACTTGGTTTGAATGATTTCTTAAGAGGGTCACTTTAGGATCAGTTACAATTTTGATTTCCATATGTTCCAGAACAAAAAAAAACAACGAAGATGATATAGCTGTGCTTATTGAAAACAATTGCCTTCAAAATTCAATCTCGAAACATTATCAGATCAATTGTATTTAAGATATGCGTTTGATTATTCCAAGACCTATGCCAGTGCGGATGTACTATACATGAGGATCATGTGGGGAAGCATTCATTTAGGCTAAAGAAAACATTTGCTTAAAGAAATAAAGGTTTCCATTGCTGCTAAGAATATTAGTTGCCTGGCTGTCACTGAGGCTGATTTGGAACAAGCAGGCAGATTACGTCAGATCTGCATATTTGTTTTGGATCAGTGCCTAGAAATGATTGAAGCCATTGGATCAGTATGACAGTCAGGCAACTAGCAGTCTCATAAGGAATATGTGTCTTTTTATTCTCTCAGCAGTTTTTTATTTAAATTATTTTTAAACTGAAAAATTGTAAACCTTTTGGGGAGCTATAATAGATAGAGATGCACACCTGCATGCAGAAACACACACACACACACACACACACACACACACACACACACACACACACACATATTGGGGTCTATTCACTAAAGGGTGAATAGTTTGGGGAAGGCAGGAGAAGTGAACAATCTAGGCAAAAATAGCTGATTTGGAACAATTCTTCAATTCAGCTCACTTTCCAGTTCAGCTATGTTGTCCTAGATTGTTCATTTCCCCTGCCTTCTCCAAACTCTTCACCCTTTATTGAATATACCCCATAGTGTTTTTAGAACAATTGAAGCACCTGCACTCTCGCATTCATTTCCACAATGCTTTAACTGGAATGGAAATATTGCTATTTTTAAAAAGTTTGGCATACAGTTCAGACAGCTTAGATCAAGCAGTGATCTGTTCCACACTGAAGCTGATGTGTGGGAGGGGCTGTAAGTCATATTTGACACTTCTAGGTGTGAAATCCTGCATCACTGTGCACTATATTGTCTGAGGATAGGTTTGATGAGTTCAATTGACCTTTCTCTATATTCACTTAGCAGCAAAAATATTTGTTCTTGTACTGTGTAGCAATGGAGAATGTGTCCGTTTATCATGGGAGGATTAGTCGTGAGATTGGCGAAAAGCTCTTGAGTGAAGCTGGAAAAGATGGGAGTTATCTGCTTCGTGACAGTGAGACAGTGCCTGGAGTGTATTGTCTATGTGTACTGTAAGTACCCTTATGAATTGGCAGTCATGTTTTCTTTATAGTTATACAAATTCTCCAAATTTAATCTAAGTGGATAAATAATCACTTTAGGAAAAAAACTACTCCAAATTTTAATCATTTTGTCTTAACTGAAAAACGAAAAAAGATGGTGTTTGTTAAACTCTACGGTTGCAGCTGCTGTTTGGATCTAGCTCTAGGAACTTTCTCCAGAGATCTAACCACCCCCCTGTCTGGACAGGATAGTTCTCCACTGAGACCAAGTTCTGTTCAGGCAGTGAAGGTGCTTGAATACTGGACTTAATGTTGGATACTGGGGTTTTTATACCCATTGTCATATGTATTAAATACTGTACATTAATACTTTTGGAGACAGTCAGTCAAAATATAACAATACTATAGAATTCAGAAATGTTATTAACAAATAAGAACAAATAAAAAAACAATCAATGCTCTAAACATTAGAGTTCATTGTGTGGTGAAGTTTAACACTTTATGATTTATTAATCTATCTGTACAACTATTTATGTTTATTTAAGTGCCTAAAAATAGTAAAACAGTTTTTGCTAGACTGGCAGAATATATAATGATTACACCCTTATGGCATTCTGTATAGTTATTTGTTCAGCACTGACTTGAACAAACCATACTTGGAGAATATGATCATCATTAGCTGCTGATAATACAGTTGTATGACATTTATTTAAAAAAAGCCTGGCCATTCACTGGAGAGAGGCTGCTAGGTGTTTTTTTTTTATCACCACACACAAACAGCCAAACAGATAGAATAATTGACATCTCCTTGTGCATCCCTGTAATGTTAGTATTTTATTGATAGACATCTTAATACACTGTTCTAGTCTAACAATTTGAATAAAACATTCCAAGAAGTCCATTCACTTGAATATCTCAATGTGAGATTGAGCAATATGCTCAGATCTAATGTCTCTACACATGTGCATTGTCAGATAGTGTTCCAAAAAAGTCTGTCCACTGTAGTGGATACCATTAGTTAAGTGTTTTTAAAATTTAGGTAAATAGAATTAAAGGATATAAAATCCACCCGGCCCATGGAACAATTCTATCCTTGGCATGGTACCTTTAAAGTACCAGGTCAGGTCACCTGATCCAGCTGAACAGTGGATCGGCAAATTATGCATTCATCACCATTCAAGTTTGTCCACTTCAACTTGTAACACAGTCTACAGGTGTACATATGGCTCACTCCAAGGAAAAAAATGGAGTTGGTAAATTACCATCTACCTTAGTATGCATACAGCATATGCAAACTGGGCATTCTAAACTAACGTCAAAGTTCTGGATTGTGCTGCAGACAGTAGAAGAGGTAACATGCATAGTTGTTTGCTGCCAATGATTTCTACAGATGGTAGCAGGTTTTCATGATAAAAAAAGCCTCTTCTATTGCTTCCCACAAAATTCAGAAATTTGGCATGTCTGGATTCAATTGTATATGGATAAATCTACTTTAAATCATGCAAGGCATGCCCATTTGGAAAATCATATACCTTATGAATGAAGAAGTAGTTAAAGACATAGAGAACAAGTAAATTGTCCTTAAACTCGCTTCTTTTCAAAACCAACAAAAATGCATGCTAGAACAAGTAACACATTATTCTTCACTTAATCATAGAGAATGAGTATATGATTAAATGCAGAATAGCACAAGAAGAGTGACAGTATTTCTGTGACAATTCCAGCATACCTCAGCAACATTTCCCTAGAAATGAATGTAAATAATTGGCAGCTATATATGATGACCACAAACACAAGATGTCCTTGCATGACTGCGTCTACTTTTCTTGCCGCTAGATACAAGAGCCCATACCTGGCAAAATGTAATTGTCCTAGTTATGGAGCTGTGCAGAAACACTGTCAAATTTTAAAGCTACTGTAAAGCTACAAAACTTGAACATCTGGATATCTTATTTTATGCTTATATTTAGTATCCAAAGTAAGATGTGCTCTACTTATGGTGAAAGCACATTGATTTAAATTGCAGTTGAAACAAAAGTAAATGCTCAGCATTTCCTCTCATTTCTGTGATGACACCTAGCAATAGCAAAGAAAGCGAGTGCTTTGACAAACAAGGTGATGTTATAACTGTACCTCCATCATAAGGAGCCATGACCCAGATATGATTGATAACAGTAAAATTACTACAAACAATAAACTTTTACCTTCAACAAGTTATTAAAATAGAGATTCTCCCACTTAAATGGTACGGGTTCCTAGGTTGCATAAAACCATGCTTGTAGTTTTTTCTTATGCATTTACTTTTGAAAGCCGTAATCTATTTCTAATATATGTTACATTTTATTATATAACTATTACTAGAGTTACATCATGGTTGCAAAAAAATGCATCATAGCATAATTTTCTTTGCCGAGCTCCAACATTGTTTGACATGTGCCAACATGCCCAACATTGAGGCTTGTTGGGATCCAAACCAACAAGTTGAAGGACCCAACTCCACATTCCTGAAGAAAAAAAATAGTGTTAGGTAGGGTAGATCATTTGCTTTGTAAATACCTTTAGTGTAATGTATGGCTCCTTTCACATCTTTGTGATGCAGGAGCATGTACGATGCTGCATGTGATCCCGCATTGCATATTGCAATGTTAGGTGCACTGATTATTTCTTAATGGCACCCCAACACACCTAGCCATCGCATGTGCGTTGAATCACAAAACTTTGTATGGTAACCCATAACCATGCAATGTGGTACAATGTGATTCAAGCAATTCTTTAAGTGCAAATAAGCTGCAGTCAAATGAAGGAGCTGACCTACCACAACGAACCCGGCAGCGCCTCTGCAATGTTGCATCGAAGTGTGAACAAAGAGTAACCCACTTTTACCTTAAATTAAAAAATCAGGTGTTTTTGAAATCAGCCCCAATGTTTTCCATCAGCTTTAAAGCCCATTTCCACCTTTGCTGAGGTACTTAAAAAAAACAAACATATGCCAGCAATGTACACTGAGTGTACATGAAGCAGGCATATGCAGTTACTGTATATGAACACAACTTTTTTATTAGCTTTCCTCTTCATCTCCTCATGGAAATGATTGCAATTGTGCTTTGCAAGTAATATATGTATAGTACAAGTGACCTCTCCACCCCCCCCAACCCCTATTCATTAGTATTCATAGTGACAACCCCCCTCCCTGGACATCGTATTGTGTGCAAAGGCAGAGACGGTGTTTACTGATCATGTTACAATGAATAACAGGGAGGAGTAGAGCTGTTTAGAGTCTACTTTACAATCCAACCCCGGTGTCAGACTTAGTTTCCTGTGGAGAAAATTTTGAATTTCTAGGCTTCAAGCCTAATAAAAACTTAATAGAAAAGGAAGGAAGTCTGCAATGTGAGTCAGGAAAATGTGCAATGTATATATCATCACTGCACCTCTTCATTAACACAATCAATGCTAATCACTGACAAAGGTGGGCATCGACTTTATAAAGATGTAAAGGTCCACAATAATCTGCAGCTTACTGGTTTTATGAATTCCTGGTTTTCAGTGAGCAAACAATTGATAATGAGAAAAAAATCCATCAAGAACACCTTAATGCAAGTCAGAAGACACTTTACAATTTACATTGAAGTTTTCATTTTTATTTACTTGAAACAAGGAATGATTAAAAAAGTTGGCTTCAAGTTGCTGCAATATTTTCCTTTAAACTAAACACTTAGCTTAGTTACGCACTAACCTAAATACAACTAAGTTGGAATTATCTATCCCTTTAGTAAATTAACTCACACATTACCATTTGATGCAAACCTGTACATGTAAGTCAGCTATTACATTTGTATGTGCAATAATGAACTTAGAACACAGGGTTATTTATTATTCTCAGGAGATACATTTGACTTTTTACAACTTTTTTACTCCTTTTTAGAGTGTGGGCCACATTCAAATGCAACTACTAGTGTTGATCTACATTGAGGTTGACCAAAGATGGTTATTGGTAACTACCTGATTTACCCATTCTTTCAACCATTAAAGACCATGGGTAACCAATACAAGGTTTACTCATAAACTATGCAGTGTTTTGGAACACTTTGCAACTGACACATTTCTCTGATACAGTATTCATGAATTCCATGCACTAGCCAGTTACTGCCAGAAATTCTTGACTAGGTTGGATTGCTAACAAGAATGAGTTCTTGCTTTATCAAAATTTGCCAATTAAAAGTTTATTATTAATGTTAAACATTTAATTAAATGGTACAAGGCTCTGGAAGTTTATATTACAATAGTTATTCACATAGAACAGTATTAGGCTTATGCTAAGATGCAACAATTTTGCATGCAATAACTAACAGCAGAATCCTGTCTTGATGCACATTATAAGTTCTGTTACAGTTATATGAATGGTAAGACCACTAGACGGGACCAATATTATCATCTGGCTGTTTATTTGGGCAAGTCAAGGCATCAATAGTTTGAATCAAAGATAAAGATAAAAGTCATATAGTGTATTAACCCTTTCCCTGCCACCAATGTAAGGCTTACGGCAGAACAAAACCGCCTGCAGCTTGCAGCTCAGCCAGTTCGGTGGCTTTCTCCCTTCTGCTATAAGCTCCTCATGGTCGCTTTAGCAACCATGAACTTATATCAGAAGGGTTCCCCTGCAGGCCACTTTTAAATGAATAGCTATCATTAGTGGCTTAAAAGCCGCTGATGACAGCTATTAACAAAAATTCTGGGTACCCCCCTGCGCCGGCACCACCGGCACCGGCATCTTACAGCTTCCCTGACTCTCCTGCCCACCTGGGATTCCCGCTGCTCTCCCCGCATGTGTCGGCAGAGGCAGTGGGGAAAATTGAGTGCTGATGCCAGTGTGGGGGGGGGACTCGTCCGCCCCCCCACTTCAGGGGGGGCGCAGGAGGGAGCGCTGCCTGCAGTGTCAGGATGGCCGAGTGGGTAGGAGAGAGCAGCCTCAGCTGTCAGGAAGGCTGAGCGGGGAGGAGAGTGGCTCCACTGTCCTCTTGTCAGTTTCAGGATGACAACGGCTCTGTGTGTGGCAGAGAGGAGGATTGGTAAATATCTGTGATATTTACAGATCCTGTGTGTGCAGCACAAACACTGAAGTGATCGCTGCTCACTCCAATGTTTGTAAACAACCGGAGACACATACTGCTATGTGTCCCCAGTTATGAATGAAAAAGGAAGTGCTTTACATCACTTCCTGTTCATTCATAAGTTTCTGAATGGGTGGAAGCAATCAGTATAGAGGCTTCTACCCATTCATAACTGGTTGATGGTAAACATTTACTATCACCAGTTTGTAAAGGTGTCCTCAATTTCTTTTTCTATTTCAAAAGGGAAATGTCAATGGTCTTTATATTTCCCCTTCAACAGTACAAAAAAATAAAAATAATAAAAATATAAATAAACAAAAAATAATAAAGTTTTAAAAACACAAAGAGGGAAGTAACAAATGGGCAAATAGTGGGCTCACTCCAGTCACCAGTGCCAAAGCAGTCAATATAGTAAATCCTATAGCTATATATTACTATGTTACAACCCCCCCTCCCTCTTACACACACATTATACATGTGCAACATTGTGCACCATATCGTGGTTTAAACATTTCAGTGCTTGTTTTTTTAAAATACCGTGAATTTAACTGTGCTGCAGCAAATGGCAAAGCATTGTGACGCATTGCCATGCGTTGTGATACGCTATGTTGTTATTAACGGTATGCCTGTATAATTTTTCACAACACATACATCAGCACAGTGCCCAAACAATTTTTAACATAGGTCACTTATTTACAGTTTTGTGTTACTTTATTTTTTTACCGTTTCGCAAAAGGCAAAATTTAAAATGTACACGTATTTGTTATTTATCAACTCAATACAGTTTTATCTATTATATTTAGTTGGAAAAGTGTTTTTTTGGGGGGGAGGGGGCACTGATACTGATTTTAGTGTGTCTTTATCAATTTAATTGTGTTTTCTTTGGTTCAATATTGATTTGATTAACATCTGCAAAATTTTTGCAGGACCTACAAAATTAGTAGCATCATCTTTTTAATTTACCGGGCCTGTGCTTTCAGAATATATATAGTTTGGGGAGTTTTTTTTTAATTGCAAAAAATGTTGTGGCTAGCTGAGGTTAAAAGCATTCTGGAGAGCTTGGCAGCAAGAGGGTTAAAAATATAAACTGTTACTGCGTGACCTAATTTTTCTTCCTGGTCATTCAGTATTTCAATGAATATTGACTAGCCACATTATCAGACCTCACACAGACTATTTTGTGGTATATTTGTTTTTTCATGGCTTCATTTGCTCATATATGGTCCATATATTGCCATTTTTTTGCACGTATCATTGATGAGAAGCAAATGATATATGCATACAAGGCACCAGAAAACAGGCTATTTTAATTGTTAATGTATATGTAAGTGCAATAACTAGCTTCCAGAAGCACAAAACAGAAGTTCAGCAAGTTCTTTTTTGTTTGTGCTCAATAGATTATGTTTTGTTTTAAAAGCACAAGAAGAGTACAAATAAGTGCATGAGTAAAATCAAAATCGGAAAAGTTATTTAGGTCTGATTCTCTTGTCTGTACTAGGAGAACATTGTCTCTAGTGGATGTGCTGAGCTTTGAAGTGGTGGCTTAAAATGTGCTCCACAATAGGCAAAGCAGTTCAGTTCAGATAAGATCAGTTCCGTTAGCAGAAGAAAGTTGTAAATAACTTGTCAGTGTCTTAGCACACGGCACATATTATTTTACCAAGTGCTAACCCTTTCAGTTCCAGAGCTAGACTAACAAGCTTAAAGTGTATTTCCATTTTTTGCAGTCAAATTTGAGAAAACCCACTTTATATTTGTTATGTGATTCCATTTACACAACATATTCAAAAATGTTAAATGTTAAACTAGAGGGTCAAACTGAAGGACAGACTGAGCTACTCATTAACATACAATGTTTCTAAGGGGTCTATTCACGAAGCTGCCGAAGGATCTAGCCATAGCTTCGGCTGATCCTTTGGCTAGCTTCGGCCCCAGGACCCCTTCGGTTCTACTCACTATAGCCCGTACAGCTCCCGAAGTCGGCCGAGCGGCTCAGTCGAGTCAAAGGCATATGCTTCGGCTCAATGAGCCGAGGTGAAAGCCGAAGCTGGCCGACAGCCTGCTACTGACTGCTGGGCGGAGCCAGCAGTCATCTCACGGCTGGCTCCGACCCCTTGCACAGACAGATCAGCGTCCATGGTTACCAGGTAACCAGGGACACTGATCTCCAGACAGCCCAACTCTCCCGGATGCTCTGGGAGTCTCCCGCTATTAGATAGCGGCTCCCGTCCGCCCGGGAGAGAAACACTTTATCCCAGAAAGGTTTACTCTGCTCGATCGATTTCCCTGCTCTGGGTTTTTTTTCTTCTGACATCGGAGTCATTGGCTGCTGTCAGAATAAAAAGAAAAATCACCATAGGAATGCATAGCTAGATTCCTATTGGCTATTTCAATTTGCAATAGCCAATAGCAAACCAGCTATTGCACCCACCCACTGCTGCTGTCAATCGGCACAGGGGACCTCAAGTTCTCCATCAGGTCCCCTCTAGTGATTGACAGTAGCAGAGGGCGGGTGCAATAGCTTGTTTGCTATTGGCTATTGCAAAGTGAAATAGCCAATAGGAATCTAGCTATGCATTCCTATGGTGATTTTTTTTAATTCTGACGGCAGCAGAACTGCCCGGCCAATAGAAAACAGTTGGGCAGAGCTAGCTGTCACGGCTAGCTCCACCCAATCGTTTTCTATTTAATTTTTTACTACTTTTTTTAACTGTTTTTCTGTTCTGCTCGGTACCACAGAGGTTCTGGGCAGAATAGCCGAGCCGAATGCTGTTGTGAAAAACGTTGAGCCGTTGGTTGTGAGAAAACACTGTGAGTCCTTCCAAAAAACTGTTTAATATATTCAGTCTAAAATATTTGTATTCAACTTCCATGATCTCATGATGTAACCCCACGGGCTCTCATAATCATGTTTTGACTTTCTTTGAAGACCTCTGGCCTCCCACAACTCCATATTGTTGCTGTAAAGAGTACTGATAAAGTTAATAAAAAGTACATGAAAGAACCTGCACTTCATGTAAGGGACTTTGTCCAACAGAAAGGTTTACATTAAGACCTAGAGAGTCATGGGTATATTTTAGTATGTTATCTTTTATTTCAAGCTTGGTAAAGGCTGTGGGAAGTAAAAAAGCATGCAGATTTGTATTATTGCATGTTAGAGTTATAATTGTCAGATGTCAGGAAAAGATGAACTTTACTTGGTTGATGATGTTTTTATATTACTTAATAAACCCAATCATTTTTATGAAGCATGGTCCGCATGTTCATTTTTTTCGCAGGCATAAGGATGTAGTTTACACCTACAGAGTCTCTCAAACAATAACTGGCTCCTGGTCAGCGGAGGTATGGATTATTATTGGATTTTACATGTTGTAACAGTAAATATTTAAGGTATCAGTTGACTAACGTACAATTGTTATACAGTTAAAGAAGGAAGTATTATCTTTCAATTATACAGTATCTAACCATTATATTTATAGCATGAAAGGAGGGCATTGTTTTATGCAGGAAGCACAACTGCTCAATCCACATGCATGTCTTTTCATCTACCAGAGTAAAACTATTTTATAAATAGGAAGGACAGTGCTTTACCACATGTAAGATTCAAGTCTTTGTCATGAGTAAATGTGACTTTGATTATCAGATACATCAATGAAGTGTACTTCAAAGCTTCATCTATGCCAGTTTTTTTGCTGCAGTTCACACCAGCAGGCTCTGGCTGCCATCATGAAGCTATGCTGATGAGTATATCTGACATTTCATTAATGTGCTCTAATTCTTCTGAAATGGTTGTATGGGAAATAAAGCTGCACCACTGTGAAAGTGTATGAACGGTTCCTGCCAGCAGGCGGTAGGCATGAAATTATGCTCATGTGGTGTACTAAAATATGCCATACTATATGAATGTTTAGAAATGTTTAAAGTGTATCTAAAGCTCATTTTTTTTAAGTTTTGGATAAAGAGAGGAAGTGTGAAAACCCCTGTGTGTTTATATTGCTCTATGTGCTTAATGAGGGGATATAACCTCTCTATTTGTCCTGAACCTTTTCACTGGAACAGAGGGGGATAGGAAACCCATAGTTTTTTTCACTTGACAGAATGGGGCCCTATATAAAAATTTGAATTCTCCCCCATCAATGACATACTGTCATTAATCTTAACATAAAGTATATCTAAATCACAGATATGTAGCAGGGGAGCTGTCAGCATAGTCAGAGCACTACAAATAGCCTCCTCTGCTGTGGAGAGAGGATGGCAGGAAATAGGGGGACATCACTGCATAAAAAATAACTTCAGGGTAAATTCTATATCCTTCCACCCCTGCAGCAAGCAAGTGCTGAAAGAGGTGGTCTAGTAGTAAGTTTAAAAAATAACCCCAAAAAACAAGAGGTGTATGATAAATAATAATGACCATCATAATAGTTTATAATATTAAATAATTGTTAGTGTTCCTACACGCAGTTACATTATAACCCTAATGCAAACTTCTTTAAAGTGAATCTTTTTCACATAACTACAAACAGCTGTCAGTTGACACCCTGAGGTTTCTAAAGCCTGATGAAGACTGCATTAGGCATACAGGGTTAATATCAGTGCTGACCGGGATGACCAGAAGTACTGAGGGTAATACATTTACACTACCAAGACAGCTAAACAAATTCTGCTTACTGCACAGCCTGAAGAAGGGGATCTGTGACTAGTGATAACAATTCTGAAGTCTCCTCCTAGGTGTCTGATTTAAGCTGTTCATAAGGGAAAATGTCACAGAGGGTAAAGGGTTAGTGTCAACAGCAACCTCTGCCTCCCTATTGCCACATTTCTGGATTTGTGTTGCCTTCACATACACACAGATTTTCTTTGTTTCAATTTTCTCAAAAGCCCTCCTAAAGGACCCCCTCTTCATCCCTTGGCCCCGTAGCAACTGTGTGGGCTTCTATGGCCTTTGTCATGCCATTGCTGAGGGTAAATCTTCATACATGACACATGTGCTTTTTTTTGTGCTTCCGAGACTGTAATTAAAGAAAGGACAGACAGCAAAAAAAAAACCTGACAGGATTTCACTATTTTACTCTGTACAAAAGTGGAAGAAAAGGGTTTAAATATCCTTAAGCCCTCGTTCACACCTGAACGTTTTGTAGCGCGTTCTACACTCGACGAACGCTCTACAAAATGCTCAAAAATATAAATCCCATTGTATTCAATGGTCTCGTTCCCACCTTGGCGTATTTCAGCCCGTCCCTAACGCGCTACAAAACGGCCCATGCCTGAAAAGGTACAGGTACTACTTTGGGCCGTTTTGTTGCGCGTTTCCATTGGGATACAGCCAAGTAGCCTTCTGAAACGCGCGTTTGTTGCGCAACTTTTTTTACCGCGAATCGCGGTAAAAAAACGCGCGACGGTCGTGCGACAGACGCGCATATGCAATACGCCTAGGTGTGAACGAGAACTTAAGGTTGACATGGTTTAAGTTGCATGGTAAAAGCAGTGGGGATAATTCATAAATGCTAGAACAGGTGCGCATAGCAGCCAATCAGCTTCTCTCCATTGACATAATTACTATACCGTAATATGACAACAGTAAAAATTAAACACATAAGCACAAAATATCTTGAGACTAGAGACATCCACTTTTGGGAAATAACTTTCAATTTCTAAATTCATTAAAGTATTTGGCAGTTTTTTAGTAGATAGCTTGAATTTGAATGTATAGAAACTAGTGATGCACTGATACTTTTCGAGTACCAGTGCAGATACTTTTCATGAGAACTACCAGGGTTGCAGCGGTTGCAGCTGGGACCTGGCTCTGGCACTCCACCACTGTGCTGAAATCATTAGTCTGTATTGTTTTAGAAAAACTGTCACATGACAATAAACAAAAATGTATCGGTACTCGTACTTGTAAGTACTTGGCAAGTACCAGTACTCATACTCGCAAAGCTGGTATCTTCACTTTGAGTATTGAAGCATGTCCAAGGGAAAAAACTGTATTTATGTTACATTTGATTGGATGATTTAGTGAACACAGTTTGACCTTATTTGCTAAGTGTAACGTCTCTACCGTTTTAGTAATTAAGCCCACCTGAGTCTATTATCAGAAGTAGTAGTACCAGAGAACAGGTCAGCTGCCATTCACTTTGTCACACTGCTGTCTTCCAATGCAAATGATGCCAATACAGAAGAGCACTTCTCTTCACTCATGTCAGTGCTCTGGATTGATGACTGTAATACTATCAGCTGGAAAGAAGAGCAGGATACTGTAGACAGTAAAAGAGATGATATTAAAAAAAACTTACTTATGATGCCTCTTTAATGTTTCCTAACTTCCATTCACTTTACTGGCAGCAAGCAGTGTAACTACCAGAGAAATGAACACATGGACAATTGTGCTCTTTATTCCATTTGCTCTACAAATCTGACCTCATAAATGTGTCCATTAGTTTTGTCACAAAAGTGACTGGTAGCATTAACCCACTGTGTCCTAAGACAATAAAGTAAATAAAGCCTCACAGTCACCAAAGATCAGATGATTGTGGGTCTGTGCAGCATATATTCCCATTATAAATAATTATTTGAGTGTAAAAAATAGCATAATGCAAAATTATATATGTTACACTAAATAAGCAGAACAATATCATAGCAATTGGTGAATATACATGTCTGTTATCATTTAGGCTGCACCAGGAGTTCCTAAAAGAATGTTCAGAAAGGTTCAGAATCTAATCTCTGCTTACCAGAAGCCAGGCCAAGGAATTGCAACTCATCTGCAACATCCTGTTGAAAGAAAAACGCCGAAGATGAAAGGTAATATACTACAATATGATGTACTGTGATACCGCAGAGGGAACATTTCAGACATGCCTGAACGTATTTGAAAGAAACAGTAAGTACCTTTTAAGTGGTAAATATAAGAAGAGGTCTGTGAGGGAAAAGGAAAAATTAAAATACAATATAGTCAAACCTGAAATGTAACATGAAAATGCAAAGCAGTGACACATCCTTGCTAACTACATTAATGCTTTCTACTCTAGCCTGATTCTAGCTTGAATGCACTAGTCTAGCCTGGTGCCTAAAATACTTTGGCTGCTTGTAACTTAAGGTTCTAAAGATATATAATCTGATTTTGGTGGTCAGAGATACTCAGGTTTATGTTTTAAAGCTCTTTTACTAATTATGATGACTCTTAATTAATAAAAAAAAGTATGATTTGCACCCAGCCCAGCCTACAGAAAGGTGAGTGTTTAAGCTTCACATTGCTAAATTATCAGCAAGAAGCTGTAATACCACCCTGGGGTATAAAAGTCCGGTTCAGTCTATCAGTTAGAACATTTTATACATTGCTTTGCATAAGTGTTAACCCTCTGGGGTTTGTATTGTGATGATCTTGAATTAAAATTGATTTGCTTGGAATTTTATTTACATTATCATTGCATTTATTGTAATTGTATTTAGTCGACATGCTTAACACTTTGAAGAACCAAACTTTGTTTAACTGTGACACAAAAGTTAAACCTGAGCTTATTCAAAGTTGTAACAGGAAGGGTGGGGATATTGATGCAATCGAGATGTCATGAGCAGCAGAGGACAGTTGGCCTTATCTAGAGATTACCTGAACTCTAAAAGGAAGGAGCCTGATGAGAGCAGCATAATAGAGGAGCAGCAAAAGAAGTCTAAGTGCAGACATGCAGAAGAGGATCATAAGAGCCAGACAGGAGAATACCACATTGGTGATAAATGTTCTTCACCTGGTGAGGATTACCTGACCTTCACCAGAACCTGTTAGAGGTATAGATAAACTTGTATGACAGGGCAGCTTCCAGAAGGTGACCCACTAGATTGCCTAGCTGGACAACCTCAAACACACAGACAACAACAGAGTGCCGGAACATAGCAGACAAGAACAGATGGAGTCTTAAATAGGAGCAACAGGGTACACATACAGATGGGATCAGAAGCAGAGAAAATACATGTCAGATAGCAAGATCAGATTATATTATTCAAGACACATATGTCTAGGCCAAATGCAGGAACAGCTGAAGTGCTAAAGTCAGAAAAGATAACAGTGTTGGGTGCACCTACACTGGCTGGTGAGAGCAGATACCATAAATGGCCACAAACAAAACAGATCAGAAACAGGTCAAAACAGACAGACATAAAGGTACACAAGACTTGAGATGTAAGAGAGGAACACAAACGAGACTCATTACACAAGGCTATTCAATGTATTAGTTGGTGGTTTATTATTGTGAAATATTGGCCTAAACCTGCCACATATATTGCAACTGATTTACTTAGAATCTGTTCTTCATTTTGTGATTTTGCAATGCTTCACTAAATATAGAGTAGCTGTACATAGCTTGAAAAAAATTATGGTATGACAATTATTGAATAGTACCATATGCATAAAACAACTGATCTACTAAATGAGTGACTTTTCTTTTAACCTGACTAGAGCTGATTGTATGGCTATAGCTAGAACAGGCTAACTGTCAACATAATAAAATGACTCCAATAGAAAATCATACTTATCTTTCAAACTCGCTGTCTGCCAGACAGAACATCACAATGATTGCAGGGCATTACAGCATACTTTCCACAATTATTTTCATGCATGTGCTGAGATATTAGAACAGTCAAATTCAACCAAAAAATACTGAATGCTGCAATATTGTACTATAAATTGTCTGGATAGTATATCTTTAGAACCTCAGCATTGCTGCTGAGCTGAAGTAAAGGATAATGAAACTTGTTCATACATAGCTAAAATTTCAGATAGAGATACACATATGGACACGATTTGATTTTATTAAACGTAAAATGTTTACAATGACCATTAACCCATTTTTCTTTTTCATTTTAGGTTAACAATGTATACTAACATCAACAACAGATCCTCAATTAGATGCTATCCCAATGCAAAAAAACATTTGGGAAAATAGACATTTCACATCTCATTGACATAAAAATGATTGACCTCAACACTTTGTTTTATTCAGTTCTCCATCAATGTAACCATGTAACCGATGTATGTTTCATTTTGTGAGATATCCATCTAAATTAGGTTGTTTTTTTTTGAGAAGTAGATAAGTATTGCTTTTTTGTAATAACACTGTATATGTATGTGTTTTTTTTAGAACTAATTAGAAAAAGCTTACAAAAGTGAAAGAACACATTATAATTTCTCGTTATTTTTTATCTCTCCCTTATAGTTGCCAAACTGACCAAACAAAATGATCTAATATGTATGTCCTATAAAATCAGTAGATCCTTTTATCCCAATATATATACTTTACAGTATAGGCCCAGGCATAAAACTACAATGCTACAGTTCACAGCATGCAAAACAAAATTAAACAAAGAAGACATTTCCAAACACTTCATTTTATGTTTTTATGGCCATACATTTATTATAAACCTGGGTTAAGAATACCTTATTTTGACATGAGTAATCATTTGACTTTTTATTTATAGGCACTTGTATTTATAGAATCATCAGTATCCATGCCTCCTTGCACCAATGGGTAGAGTGGTAGCATTGAAGAACATGCCCTTCCCGATATATTTAATGTACTGTAGCAGTGATCAGTGGTTATTACTGTCACATGCCTGGCATCACCATATTTGCTGGGAGACAGTCTGCAATGCTAGCGTAGGATAGTTAGGAGTACAGTCAGGTTCATCATATGCCACTGAATAACAATGAAAGTACATGTACAAGGGTCAGTACATGTTTAAGAGACCAACAAGCCTGACATTTTCATTTTAATCCATGGTAAGAATCAGTCAGGCATTAATGTTTCCTATGTATTTTGCACAGAGTTAGGTTTCAAGCCACATAGCAATGGTCGACCTGTAAGCTTAATTCTAGCAATGTGAATGCAGGCAATACATATTTTTCAAGGAACTAATTAGCATACCAGTAAAACAAAACACTTTTATTTTTTTTCTTAAATATTTAGGTACTTTATTAAATCGTCAGTGCTGTATGTGCCATAAGGATCTCTATATGATAAAAAAGTTGAAAAAGTAACATTATGCAAAAAAGCTACCGATATAATTTGTACTATGTATGATGTACAGACATCGAGGTACTTAACATTTGAGTAAGACAATAGATTTCTGCTATGGGATAACTAGACAGAAAATCAGCTTAGTGTTTGAGTACAGTATACAAGTTCCCACTGTAGCACCTTAACTTTACAAATCTGTTCAAATAATATTCTGAAGCATCGACACAATTACCCACAAATATTCATACTATAAAACAGCATGTGAACATTTTTCAGTTCATGTTTAAATACTTTATAATTTATTAAAAATGATATTTATAGATGAACTGTTTACATTTCTTTGCAATAAAATACAAATGTATTATTATGTTGGGAAACTGTGCACAAAAATAAAAAAAATTGATAGGGGGTGGAGTTTATAGGCAGAAGAGGCATGCAAAGTCTTTTCTGCCAAATAAACTTCTTCCTCTGGTTCCTAGTAATGTATTTTTCTGTGTACACTGCCTGAGGTGCATGTGCAGATGTATGTTCCCTGCATCTGTAAGATGCCAAGAATGGAGTGGGGTGGCTGGACGATGTAAATCTAGCATGTCTGCCAAATGGTAGAGCTAGGTACCAAATAGCAGGGCAATTAGCTGCCAGGCCGGGAGGAAGACCCGGCTAAGATGTCAGTGATGCGACAGAGCAACGAAGGGGAGGGCTGACATCACACTACTGGTGAGGGCATGCTGGAAATTAAGATCTGCATGCTTGCACATTTTGAAAAGATCCATCGGTAAAGTCTTCCTAAAGTGGTAAAATTCCACTTTAGGAAGACTTCTTAAAGCATGCACTTATTTAGTTGCTGGTCATTGGTTTGAAATATGTATAAATAAAAAAGCATCAAACCAAAAGAATTCTCCAATTTTTCTCCAATTCTCCAGGAAAGGGGACTATAGTCAATTTTTTTTTAGATCTAACTGTGAAAAGGGTCAGCTTAATGCATGTAATCTTCTCTGTGTGATAATGTATTAAAGCTCTTATGTGTTTGTATAGTTTGGAATTATTTATGCACAGTAATAATTGGTAGTGAGAGACCATGTGTCCTCTGCGGCCTAGGCTTAAAACAATTTTTACTAATGTTAAGAAACAGCTACTCTATTTTACTCATATAGGTCCATTTGAAGTAGTAGCCTCTGTTGAGAAGTTTGAGACAATGGCATATACAAGTGTAGACCATGGCATGGCAAAGTCAATAACTGTATTATCAGATATCATTGCTTATGTATACAGAACCCTTTTTCTCAATAGGGTACAGCTTTTAATGAAAACGTAGCAGATAAATGTTTATCTTTCAGATGTAAAATATTTACAATAATAAAACAGAAAAATAATAACTGTAATTTACATACTCTATTTACCTTACTCAGTGCTTCAAAAATATTAAAGTGGTCTTAGCAAACGCTAACACTTTTTTGGTATGCAGGTACATGGTGGGTGTCTCTTTGCTTCTGCCTGCTGCTAACCAGAGTCACCAGTGTGACGCTTTGCTGATGGTTTAAGATATTAATTAGAAGTAAAGGCACTTATCGTCTCAAATGTGAAGTGTGTTTGCTTAAAAAGAATTAAACTCAATCTAGAGAGGAATTGCAGAATTCTTTCCTAATACTGGTACTTACAAACTGGAGTCTTCTGCACTTTACCCCTGCTGATTGTTCATCGTTGCATGATTTTTGTATATATTTCACACTTGACCATGGGTGAACATTTTCATGCATGTGCAATCAATTTTTACACAATGTTTGTAGACTGGGTAATTTGTTATGGTCTTTTACGCATCTTAAACATGCGGGTGATGGAACAGTCAAATATATGAAAACTAAAGTGGGACGAGGAACTTCTTAATAAGTGAGGTTCAGTTGTTAAATAAATCATTCACATACAGTGATCTGAAGCCTGTGCCAAATTCTAAAGTAAGGAACCTCTTTAGTAAAACATATTCAATTCAGAATCTTCATAGTTCTTTTCTTTATTGCCGAACTTATGTTGCAAATATGTGACATATTTGTTTTGTGTATGTGCATTTTGTAATTACTTATATATTTTTATATGACCTACTACCACTTGTTAATATGTATTCCCTGTAATCAAACTTTTATACATTTATATACACCCGCTACAGTATTTTATCTATTGTTTATTCTTTGCGGTTTATATTTTATTGCATGTGTGTGTAGCATTGAGGCAGCCATTCATTTTAATGGGCTGGCTAACGCACCCAAACGCACCAAAGAAGGTGCATGTAGCATTTTTGACAGCACGCTGCAACATACGTTAGATGGCATGGTGTGTTGGAATGCCTTTCAGAATAAAAGCACCATGCACATTGCTGCAGCATAATAGTGTGAACAGGGCCTAATTTGCAGATCTTTGAGATATGTGTCCTGTTAACATTAAGTACAGCACAGCATGACTCCCTTAGGTGCAATAAGCCTTTCAATGGCAGATCAAGTTTAGTTTGAGGCCTAAACTGTTGTTAGTATATGGGGTCCTCTGGTTTAATAAAGTGCATTTATATACTGTGT